CTTATTGATGCAGTATGCATTATCCTAAATAATATAAATATGACGTGAGTTTTCTATAATTACTTAATATGCACAAAACTAATATTAATATTATTTTTAATTATTACTTTAAATTATTTTGACCTTAATTTCATATTTACTATATGTCCCATTGTATGTGTGTTTATGCATGATACACATATGTGTTTATAGTGTAAATATATATATATATATATATATATATATATATATATATATATATATATATATATATATATATATATATATATATATATATATATATATATGTATATATATATATATATTTATATATATATATTTATATATATATATATATATATATATATATATATATATATATATATATATATATATATATATATATATATATATATATATATATATATATATATATATATATATATATATATATATATATATATATATATATATATATAGGTATTGTGGTTTATCCTCCTCCAGCTAATTGCCATACGGAGGCCACATTACCAAAGACCGCAAAGACAAGTTCAGCTAATAAATAGCATCATTACCTGCTCTACGGACCAAGAGTAAAGTGAGTTTAGGAAGAATGAAGAATGTTAGAGTTAAAGACAGAAGAAGTTGTGTTAGAAAGATAGCATACAGAAAGAGGACATGATTCCACACGATGTTAGAAGGTGCAATGCAGAACACACACACACAATGTGTGTGTGTGTGTGTTCTTTTTAAATATTCAATAGATTCCATCAGATCCTCCATCCATATTTCCTGCTTGTGGTTCTTCAATGTAACGACAAACAGGCACAACATTTCGTTCAACAAACTTTGAAAAGATTTTATTTAATTTAGAAACTCATTACCTGACGAATTAAGTTCGTTTAACAAAATAGATCATATAGAAAGTTTTGAAATTAAACAATTTCTTAAAGATATAAAGCAACGGTATGAGATATAATTAGATTATGTTACTTATTGTATTGTGTTAACATTTTATTAAAGTGCTTTATTTTTCTTATTCTCATTACTAATTACCTTATTATTTGGCACAATTCTAGGTTTCCTGATTATTATGTTACAACAAGTATATCAGATGTGATTATTTTTAACGTGACATCTGTCTGTAAAAGTTAGCTGCTTCACTCAACAGATTAATGCCTTTATGAAACATACCCAAATTAAGTGCAATGATATCTTGGGTTTTCTCATAAACTGACACGCTGGTCTCAGTTAGATGCAATTATTTCAAGATTGAAGTCAGTTGCAACTGAATTGAGTGAAGAAATAAAACACTTAGTTGATCTACTTTCTCTTTCCTATTTAAGTACTCTCAAACTTAATTTAGGCAGAATCGGTGAGGTAGGAACTCAAAAAGAATGTACTAAATGTATAAAATGTGTATTTGAAACTTTATCGAATTCTAAAAAATGTTGTAGTCTTCTTTTTAATAAAATTTATGTTAAACCGAGTATTCGCTTTCGAGGTTGTAATTTAATCGGCTACAGTGAAGACAATCCTACTGAAGTTGCAAAGACTACACTTTGTTTTATGCTTAAGCCGATGTTAGAAAAACCAGTTTTGTTTGTCGTATGGTGCCAATCTTTAAGCCTTTTTTAATTTTTTATGAAGTTTAATTGTTCAAATCACTCAGACAGTAGCAGAACTAGGTGGAGAAGTTTTATGCTTTATTTCGGACAGTCTTGCAACAAACCGTAGTGTCTATAAAAATTTTTCTTTGAATGTAAATATGCCATGGCTAGGCAAAATTAATAACCAAAATCTTCTAAAGCTTCATGATCCAATGCATTTATTTAAATCAATTAGAAATAACTGGGCTACTGAAAAGACTGGGTACAATTCATCTCACACTATATGTTCAGTTGTTTAAAGGTTACTGAAAAGAGTTGGTAATTTTATTTGAAAAAGAAAAAAACAACGTTGTCAAGTTAACAAATCTCTCATACAAAGCCATTTTTCCCGCGGCAGTTGATCGTCAAAATGTAGCCCATATGTGTGCAGTTGTGAATGAGATAACTGTAGCTGCGCTTAAAATGTTCGATTTCAAGGAGATCAGTGAGTTTCTTGATAAAGTTTTGTCTGTATGGAATTACCTTAATATTAAACAAGAAGGAATGGACATACATTTGAATAATCCTATCAGAGCTTCATACAAAGATGTCAATGATTAGCGACTTCAAGAAATGTTGGCATTTGCAGTGTTAAGGCAATGTCATAAGGAAAAAGCTGGAAACGCAATAAATCATTCACAAGCGAAACCCAATGTTGATCCAATGTATATATTTCGAGTTGATTAAATGTATACAAATCAACGTTTTTCCAATGTATGAAAAAACATCGAAAAAGTTTATTGTTTTTACGATCTAAACCCAACGTTGATCCAATGTATATATCTCAATGTATATAAATCAACGTTTTTCCAATGTATGTAAAAACATCGCAAAAAGTAGATTGTTTTTACGATTAAAACCCAACTTGATCC